CGACTGTAATTCTACGCGAATATCCCGTGGATCAACCTTTACGACGACGAGTAAACTGTTAGATTAATATTAACAGCGTTACATATATGTTGCAATAAACATCATGCTTTCGCGTTTTCATTATGAGTCTATGATTCAATTCATTCCACTCTATTAAAGTACAGATTTTACTCTCATATGTTAAACTGAAATAAACTTATCAATGATATTGCACAGGATATCTAATACTGCAAAAAGACACAACTTTTTTCTTTATTTTTTACTCATCGATTTACAATAGTATCATATTTATATTGTAACAAACTCTTCAAAGACTTTCTAAACAAAATAAGTTCTGTTATTGTTGAAACTGTTAGCAAAAGCGCAAAAATTAAAAAAATTAAAAAAAGACTATTTGAAATTATACGTCTAAAATCTATTTTTGATCAAATTTGACACACTTTAAGACAGTAATATAAATTATGGCAAGTTGAGCGCGCCAGAATTAATCCGACGATAAAACTAAAAGACGCATAGTCTTGCGCAAAGCGCAATACGCGATGACAAAAGACAAATCGCATCGTAGCGATCAATGACATGGAACGCAAATTGTAGTTAGTTCGCAAGGTAGTATGTGTATATACACGGTCCTCGATTTCCCTCGGGAAGCAAGCAAATTCATAACGCGATCTATTTGAGGAAGAATATAAAAAGTTGCCCGAAAAATCGTAGCAAATAAAAGGCCAACGATCAAGCAATCGTTGTTATGTATCGAATATAGGTATACGATTTAAAAAAGTATAAAAATGTATATATGTATATTTTTTAAAATTTTTATTTTGAACCGCCAGCAGCTAAAACAAGGTTTTTGTACGACCATACTTGCGAAGAGAATATTTAGAATGTGTGTCAGAGAGGAAACTCACAGCAGGAAGTTTTTGGCATCCGGTCGATATGCCAGGACGAATTGGCGAAATGTTATGTGAGAACTCAAGGAAAGATATACTTCTCGAGAAAGGATTTTTGAGATTCCTACGTCAAGTAAAAAATGCAATATATTACAAATGGCAACGCGCGCGCGCTCATGTAGAATTTGCAATATAACTTATATAAAAAAAGGATAATAATATACATATAAATGAAAATAAAACTAGAAAAATTATTCATATGACATTACGTAAAAAAAGTTAATTAAACTATAATACATCTCGATGAAATGCAATGTAAAACTATATTCGTAAACATATTTTGACGAGAGAAGAAAGAAAACTGCTAAATTTCAATTGTGAATATGCTACGATATATGTATTGATAAACTTATGAAATCGAATCGATAGTGTATAACGGATAGACGATCGAAGCGAAAGATAAAATTGGAAATATTTCTTTGTATAAAAAAAAACTGGCGTGACAGTAAAGGGCAAACGAAAACGTCAAGCGGAAAAGCTTGTGAGTATTTTCCATGTTTGATCGATCGACGGAAACTGAATAAAAGTTCGGACTGTTCGTCTATTTCTCTTCCTTACCTTTTTTTCTTATTAATCTGATCAAATTAGCTCAACTTTCAGCCGATTTGCAGATGAAAATTTTATAACAGATGCAATTATATCGATGGTCGTTTAACGCAGTTTTCCCTTGCAAGCTTTATAAATATAAATATGTGAACGTTATTTCGTAAATATTTTTATCCAGCGTTGTAAATATTTGTGATAAAGTAATAATATTTAAAATTATATGTGAAAGGTTTATAGATCAAATATTAATAATGACAAAATTAATAAATAAATATAATTATAAGAAACGATTATAAAAATACTTGTTAAATTAATTTAACATTTTTGCTCTGCCATTCAAGAAATAACTTCATTAAAGAAAGTTCATAAAAGAAAGAGAAAGAATAGTCCTAGTCAAAACGGTTGGAGCGTAAAATAATTTTATCTTGTAACATTATTAACGAGGAATTGGTTTAAGATTATCCCATTCTTTCTTTCATGGATCGATAAACCATAATTTCCTGCTTTACTTGAAGAACTTTTTTTGCTACTCGTTCGATATTTGAATAATCTTTTTTAAAACCATCAGTTTTCAAAAATGTTGGCAATCTTGACCGACTATAACTCAAATATACAATCTGTTACAACCTGTTACAAGTTCGTAAAAGCAACCTGTTACGATTGACAACTCGCTTATTACAATTAGACTAGTGTTAGAGAGAATTTATATTTTTTCGACACAGATAAGGTTTTCTTATTTAAGGTATTTGTTTTTACCAATCTTTACAAGTCTAGTAGTCGAGTCGATGTTTCGCAAATTTTATACACAATTTCCTCCCCACGTACAAAATACGAAGTACACGGAAAAAAAGAGGTGTCAAATCAAAACTTATATATTCAATTTAACGCATTCATTGTTTTATATACGCAACAATCTATAATCTTCTTATAAGTATTTGATAATCTTATAAGTATTTGATAATCTTAAATTGTAACAATATTATAGTCTTATTTCAATATTATAATCATCATCTAAAGAATACAATATAATTATCTTGATAATTATAATCATCGATTTGAAAATATGTTATTTTCTATTCAACATTTTTTCCTTCCCATTCAAGAAAATTATTCTTAAATAATAAGAATATATTTTTCTTGGTTGAGCTATATAAAATGGCTTCATTCAAGCAAGTTTTTTTTTTTGTTAAATGCAATATAATCTCATTTCAAGATTTCCATTGAAACTAAAGATATTCTCAAAACAAAAATTTTGTTCTGTGTATCTTCCATTTATCATCTTTGATGCATTTTCGAGAGAAACCGCCCCCTTGACGAAAAGACATCCGCGTTCAATATCAACAAGAACTTCATGGACAAAACCGAAGACACACAATAAATTATCTTGATCTGTTAAGGACCATCATGTACTTGTAAACCTCAATGAAGCACGAACCGCCGCTAATCGATTAGAATGTTAAGCTATCAAGGTTCAACCTAGTAGCCTTAATTGATGAAACTTGGCGGATACCATCGACTTCCGCGTCTCAGTCTTCTTGAGGGCAAGAGATTGAAAGACTATTCAGGTGCAATCGACTATGATGCGTTCCGATCTCTCTTAAGCCGTCATGCCCGATAAGCAACGGCGGGAATGTCATCGTGGCTTTCCACGTTTCCACATCAGCACACGAGAGCATGCCACCGACAATAACTTCGCCATAATTTCCATTACAAAAGCTACATACGTCTTGATTTAATTACCGTGTCAAAATCCACTTGACGTTACAAACGCGCCGCGCGTAACGATTGTCAGTTACATCGCGAAACGGCAATTTTTTAATTATTTTCGAGGACAAAATAAAATCAACACACCAAGACAAAGTCAATTAACGAGCGCACAAATGAAACTCGTCGTTGTTATCATAATGGAATTGCGTGCGTTAATTAATTCGACGAGCACGTTACGAACAGGGAAATTATAGGAATACATAATCGTTTAACAGCGAACCAAATGAAATATTTATTGCTGCAACGTACATAAAATCGAGCACACTTTATATCTTGAAAGAAGCTTTGACCGCGCGTGAGCGCGAGATAGGACATTAACGTGGCTCTCACAACTTTATAAACCCTTGTGTCCACGATGCTAGAACTCGGTCCAAGAAACGTGTAGCCAATAAAATTGCCGCTTTTCCGTAAAAGCTGTAAATTGATCGGCTACACATCTCTCGGTCCAAGAACTCGAGTTTTAGCATCGTGGACACAAGACTTAAGAACTGCGCCAGCCTCGAGCTCTGTCGCATCCATATGATGCTGTCAGGTTTTCACGAGATAAAGCCGAGATGAAGTCGTTGAAGCCTACGGCTGACAAAATTCGATAACTCCTTGCTCCTTTTATCATCGCTATAAAATCCTGTCGATTAAAATGAAAGTTGCCACAAAAACCGACGCGTTCGACCGTTTAAACGCATCAAATATATCGCACACTCAAAGGCCAAAGTAGCGAAAGTCGATGAAAAACACTCCATATCTAAGATGCGGTCATCGTTGTCGCGCGATTTAATATTGGAAAAGAAATACGTAATAAAAAATAATGTTCGATCAAGAGATAAAAATTGCTTTCTTCGTCTTCATCGAATTGCTGATTGCTTGCTATTTTACACTCGGTTTTACTCACTCCTAATGGAATTTCTAATTCAACGCAGTGATGCTAAAGTTTATCGAGCAGCACATGGCACATGGCACGATCATTATCTCGAGTAGGGAGTCATCGAACGGTTAATGATTGTTCATGAATCGTCGTAAACTCTACTGCTGCTAGAGTATTTTGTGCCGAATTTACATGTACTTTGGTAGATATTAAATTAATATCATGAATAATTTATCAAACTTTAGTCGATATAGTTCCTGAATACATATAATTCTTACCGACAACATACGTTAACATTATCTTCTTAACTGGGCACTGCCCTCACTCTCGTAAGGCCAAACGATAAGATATACGTTAACATCATCATTCTACGATTTTCCTCTCCCCATACGATTCAACAAGATTCACTTGTAATAAAAAAAAAAAACGCCAAGAGCTGGGAAGCCTCCTATAGATCCTCGGTGCACACACACATTCTCTATATCTCTCTCTTCGTCGTCTCTCGAGATCACAATTAAGAATTCATCTACCCTCTCGTGCGCTTCTCCAATTCTCCGATATATATACTATATCTCTAATAAAAACGTATCGTTATAAAAAAAAAATCATCGAGTAGTCTCAAGTCCGTTGATTGGAAAATTTTAACGGAGCACGGATTCTGAAGATCGTTTACTGTCCGCGAGATGACGATAAATTTTCGCGTATCGTGCAGCAGTTAAGGACCGAGCGAGAACGATCATTCCGGACTAGGTCGCATCACGCGGCTCGACCGTTATATACCCCCTTCTCGATAAGCTTTATATCGCTAAGCCGGCGCATCAAGAGCAATCGGAGGCGCTTGGGGCGATCGGCCTCGCCCGCGCACGATCTTCTCGTACCGATAAATAATGCAGCCGTTCTTCCTCTGAGCTCCTTATCTATCGTCCCGCAGGGGGATGGTTCCGTCCATCGCCTCTCTGGATCGTATTGTATCCCGAGTCGATCGATCGTCGCCTGGTGCACGCGCGCTGACCGGTTGCGGCACCACGTTCCCGCACACACGGATTCGCACAGATCGGGGATCCCTCGATACCCGTATCCTGGCGACGGGGATACAGGGGGCACAACGTGTCGCGTATCCAGAGGGGCGAGTCCCCTCTCCGTTGGCAGGGAAAAGTTCGCGTGAGATTGATTACGATTGGCGAGACGAGCGAACGAGAGTAAGAGGTACGCGCGGGTGGTAGAGATAGATCGACTCCTCGCGCGCGGAACCCACCCGTATCGGCGGGGTGACCGAGTAGCGACTGAGACTCACCCTGCGTGGTGCCGCGGTGGCGGCGCTGACTACCCCTCCGAAAGAAGAAACATCATCCCCCCACTCGTATACGGCGGCGCGGCGCGTCGCGTCGAGGCGCGCAACCCCTCGCGCCCTTTTTCCCTAAAACTCTCTGGCCCGCCGCTTACGCGCCGTGTCTCCCCCTCGGCTGATAGACGCCGGGCCCGATCAACGCTGGCCGTAGGGGGTCGGGTCGAATCGGGTCGGGTCGTTCTTGTAATCCGACGACGGATCAACCGCTGACCGACTCGGGGAGAGCCCGTTGGTCAATGTAACCACCAGAATATCAGATAGCTGCTGGCAATTTCCGCGCGCCCTGATGTAACCCTTTCACTGCCAAGGGGACGCACGTGACCCGCTGACACATAAACGCGCGACACGAGACGCGGTGATTTGCGCGAGCACCGATTCAACGAAGAACTCTGGCGACTCGCGAATAAAATAACTTTTATAAGCGAGCTTTTTGAAACAAGAACATTAGGAATTTTTTTTTTTTTTTTTGTGTAGGCTATGTTTTTCTCGTCATCTTGATAAGGAGATTTCGTGATAAGATTGATGATAACATTTCGTTATACTTTTGCGTGAAATAATATCTTGACCGAGCTTTGGTAAATTTTACAATTCTATTACGTTATTAACGATCTCTCATTCCACTGTGAATATCCCAGCGAAAGTTGGCATGATTCCAACGAGAAATCTTGATGACAAAAACTTTTGTAATGTTCGAAGATTTACCATGCTTAATCGTCCAAGTTATTTGCATTAACAACTGTTTTATATGACTACAAATATATTCTGATTATGATATCGAAAGAACAATGTGGATAAAACGAGAAAACGGAATTTTATAAAATGCACATGTAAAGTAATAAATTCTTTCTATTTCGATTCATATACCTGTGATTGATAACGTATTCTCAATCTTTATAAAATTAATACTCCATTTTTAATATTTTGATATGATTGATAAAGTTCTGGCTGTTATTCAAAGAATACTATAAAAATTTCGAAATTCTTAAGAATTCTAATTTTGAAAAAAGTTTTTTTTCAGAAATATCTAGCATTTTCTTACAAATTCTAGATAATACTTGATGCTTTGTCAAAAAATATTATGACTCAAATTAATTCTAATTGTGAAATATAAAAACATTATTATCAATTTTTATACAAAACACGAAGCTGATGCCCTACATCTTTTCGTATCTCTATTTTTTTGCATTTAACCGTTAAATTTTTTTTTATATTAAAAACTAAAACTTTATGTAGTAAGACAACTCTATTAAGTATATATATAGAATATCTTAAGGATAGAATGTAAAATACAAAGGTATATTTCCCTTGAGAGCAAACAAATTATTCCCGATAAGTTCAATGAGTATCGTGCATCATCATTAGGAAGACGTTATTAGGATCGCGATGCATTCGGCATCGTGTATTTATTAGGATAATGGAGGAACTGTGCGGACCAAATGCCTCGCCACGAGGCAGCGCGAAGGAAGGGATGGAACGTGGAATTGCGTCAGACAAAGAGCAAGGGAGATGGTGTGCGATGCAAGAAGGAAAACAATAGGAAATGCAAAAGCGCTTCTCATCGTCTGGGTTAATGGAAACGTATGTCGGGCGACAAGGATAGCTTCTGGACGCTAGGCGAACTTTATTGTTTAGTCGCGTAAATTATTTATCAGTAAAGTTTGGACTCGTGCATGGACATATTTATTAACACAAAAGCTAACGCAATATCTATTGTATATAAGCTAAATATTTGCAAACCCGTAAATCTAATGCATATCAGAAGTTATACATTTTATAAATAAATATTGTATATTGTAAAAATATATTGTAAAAATATTATATATTTTGTCAATATATTTGATGAGCAGATTCTATTTTGTAACATAATTATAAAAAATAAAAAAAATTAGCATGCACGAATGTTAATCTTATCGTAAAACAGAGAATTCACGCGTTTATTCGTGTCTATAAACACATGTCAGTGCCATTATCTTTTAAAAACACAACAATGGAATAATATATTGTGAATCGAGTTAAATCTTTATTAAAGTTTTTTAAATGAAACCTGATAAGCAAGAATATACACTACATTATTTTTCTTATCGCTAACAAAATAATAATTTGAAAATCTCGTTTTCTGTAGAATCATAAATGGGACATTGTTTTAAGTGAAAATATCGCTAATAAAACCGGAAAGAAAAGAGAACATTCAAGAGACAGACAAATGTACAATTCAAGTATACGCTTTGATATTGAAGGTATTTTTGAGAAAAACGAATATTGTTTTCGAAGTCAACAATGTTGTGAATGGATTCAAGGGATAACACAAACAAAAAACAAGTGAAGAATAAAGTTATCGCGATTTTCTCTGAGAAATCAATCGTGCAATGACGTCAGTTTGAAAAGATTTCTAAATTCTAAAAAGAAAGTTTTCGAAAAATAATTAGAAATCTCTATTCTGTACTTTCTTAATAATGTAATGTCAAATCGTGCAACTTACGCAAGATTTGGAGCCTATATAAATTCAGCTTAAAATTCTAGGAATTGTTAAAAAGAAAAACAATCTTCAATATTTATATTCGTAACAAAATAGAAACATGTCATGAATGATGCAAGTCGCATATTTTAGTGTACTTGCAATATGGAAAAAAAAAGTTCGCCAAAATTATGTCAATTAAATTGTAGCACATACGTACAAGTATTCTTTTCAATATAAAAATATATCTAATTATATAAATAACAATATAATAATTATGTGTGTAATCAATGTATAATAAATATTCATTTTTCCTAGAACCTCGTCCCAAAACACGAAAATAAAAGGCAAAATAGCCCATTGGAATCCATGGACACTGTGATAATATCTCCGAAACACGAAAAAGTCGCGTGCTAGATAAAGAGGCATCGCCAATTCAACGAGGACGGAAGGGTTGCGATCGAAGGCGTCAAAGGGAGGGCGCCACCTCGCCGGCAACCCCATTTCCATGACTTCTCAGGCCGCGAACTGATTCCTAGCGATGGCTCTCATGCCAACACTTACTTGTGATATTTTCGAACAAAAATACTAGACAATACAGATTTTAGTTCAATAACGATTGGCGCCGTCATAATGTCTTACTGATAAAACGCGATGTGTTATTAAGGCATTAGTTGATAATTGACATATTTGCTGAAAAATAAGATTATAATCTGTAAGTTTCCAATGACAAAATAAACAACTATAATTTCCCGATAATTTTGTGATAAAAAATATTAAATAAACATTTCTCATTTCTATTAATGACTTCATATAATTATTAATTCTTTGGTATTGCAAAATTTGCTCAATAATTTCGATTATCCTCTATTCAATCTGCAAAAATTGTCTTACACAATATCTTTTTGTAAATTTTTAATACTTTACTGGATTTAAAGCGAGACATTTGGTATTTGTGAAAAAAAAAAAACTGATATCTCCTTCAAAATTGTTGATCTGGTGGCTCAATGTCTAAATGACAAGGTTAAAAGCTTTATATCCTTTAAAGTTAGACAGCGGTTATCTTCTTGCCGAAGATAGATGCCACCCCTATTGATATCATCCAACATTCACCAACAAACTGTAGATGAAAGTGGTAAAAGGACAAATGGACGATGGAAACTTGAAGAGCGAAATATGGGGCGAGAAACTTTCGTCGATGACAAAGCATTGACATTACGGTGATCAACACGAGTATGTTCGTGGCCAGTGTAATATCAATAATTGGTCCTTGTCATATGACAATCTCTCTCGCCACGCGACTAGACTTTGAGTGATTTATTTATATTTTAACATCACATCCTCGTGCTGCAAGCTCTTTTTCAAATTTATTATTCACATAAAATTTATGTCACATATAAAATAATTAAATTAAACTAATAAAATAATTTAAAATAATAAAAAAAAGAAGAATTAAATTTCGAGGATTAAATTTTATTAGTGTATCGCTTTTCTATGATGTAAGAGAAGAACTTTAAATATTAGGCAACTTTTTTAAAAAGAAAAAGTACCAAATATAAAATCCCGTCTCTTTGATCATTTATTGTAATTTTTGTTGCTTGAATATCTCTCTCAAAGACAAGATTATGAAAGGGCTGTCAACGTTTCTAATACCTTTCTATAGCAATAAAAGAATGCAACGCGACAGTGGCGTAACTTGCCTTTTTAAGAACATAAGAAAATTAAATATATAGCTTTTTCAACTATAAAAGTAATATTCAAGTTTCAATAGAAGTCGAATTCTTCATTGTTCTCGTACTTGCATACACACACGATGTGGTACATGCTGTCACTGACGATTTAATCTCGTTTAATCACTGTCTACGTATAAAAGAACATTTGAAAAAAATATCATGTTAACGAGATAAGCCATCATTCATCCTGCACGTATACATAATCGCACGCAGAAATTCCCCATAGGCCGCACATCACGCATATACATACTAACTCTGGGAAACTTTGGCCTCCTCCAGAAGGCTCATTTGAAATGCAAATGCCGCATTTTCGTCGACCCCCATGCGACGATGTAGACAGCAATATATATTGCTAGCTACTTGGCCGACTGTTGGCCCACGCGATTATCATATTGCTTTGTTCAGTCGAATTTTCTAAAAACTTTTATATATATTTTGGAGATTCTTTAAATATATATTTTATTGAAAATAGTGTGTCAAACACACGCGCACGCGTTAAATTGATCGTTGCGCGACAAGGGATCATTGTATGCTTCAGCACACGCATATATATACTATTTTTTTCATTTCTCTTATACTCATCTTGCGGATATCATGCAAAAAAATTATCTCTGATATCATTCTACATAAGGTAATTTATAATGTATATGTCACGTGTGTATTTATAACATTGTAAAATTATATTGCACACCATTGACATTCTTCTTTTTTTACGTGTGTAAAACTGCCCATATTGGATTATAAGCGGGAAATTCATATGATCTTATCATTCGAGTTTAGAAAATATTATTTAATTAATTATGCTGTAAAAAAAACATACGAAAACATTAAAAAACAGTTAAAAAACATACGAAAACATTATATATGTATATTGCGACTTAATTAAATTAAAAAGTTATTAAATGAGATTATCTTATATTTGCGATAGTTTAGACGTCTTTACGGTCAGACAGTGCTTAGACGTATATGGCGTCTTTTTAATTGCACTTTTTTTTTTCTTTCGCATACATTCAGAGATATGCAAATACAATCGCCTTGATGATCCTCTACATTTTCTCGCATAAAACGCAATCGCGTAGAAAGCGACTGGACATATGCCAAATAAGCTCGAGCGTAGCTCTCGCTAAGAGCTCGAAAGTCGCTCGTAATTAATTTCGTATCAAAAGAAAAACAAAATTTCTTTCGTCGAATCTTTGCAGCGTCACATGACATACAGAGCAATCATGATATACACCGCACCTATTAAAATGTATTCAGTTAATTTTTTATCTCTATTCTAATAGAGAGAGAGAGAGAGAGAGATAGGGAGCAATTTGTCTCTTTTGAAACTTAAAATTTACGTTGTTTATTTTCATGGTCGTTCTACTTCGATATCGTTAATGTAACGAAACGCTATTCATAAACGTGTCATTACGTAATGACGAAAGAATATTCAAAATACGCGGTATTTATATCAATACAAAGACTATTTTTATGAGCATCAATTTCTTCAAAACATCCTTTGTGTCACTTCGTCTCCTTGAAGACTTATCTTTCCATATAACATATACTATACTCAATATAATAATATATATTGCTTGCAATTACGAGACAGCTGGCATGATGTTGACACATTGCATTAATCTGAGTATACCTTCTTACAAGAGAGAACAACAAAGCCATTCTTCTTTGAAAAATAAATCTCGCTCTAAAAATATTATTCTACAAATGCAGCAACAAAACAGGCTGTAGCTACCGTATCGTGCCGCGCAAACAAATAAAATTGCATCTGTTGAGTTATATGCATATTCCGCATGATACGCAGCGTATCTTTACGAGGGTGCATCTCATGTTACACACGCAGAGTCGATTATTTTATATTTGATATTTTATATATCACACGTCAATCAGTCAACTATTAACATAAGTATAATTTAATATTTAAAATATCGATCGGACGAAAGAAAGAAAAGGAGGACCGATTCCGAGACGCCACGGCGAAGGTCGAGGCTGCATAGCGTGGCTGAGCAAAGGAAATCAAGGGTGGCAGACCCGCGGGAGGGATGCAAGGGGTAAGCCGCACGCGATTCAGCGATTTGCACATTCGCACGGTCGTTCGACGGAAATAAATTTACCTTTGTCTTGCCCCGCAGGAGTTTGCGCTTTTAAACGGGAATTCGATATATCCGGAATAGCGTGCGCCGCCGAAAACGGCGTATTAACCCACATTTTTCGCATTTTGTGTTTCTCGGAGAAATATGCGAATGGCTATACTCGTTGGAAGGAAAAACAGTAAGATTCAACCGACACAACATATCGTTGGACAACTATTTATAAGAAAATCCCTGATACCTTCGATTCAACATCGAAGCTAATGAGAATTTAAAAATTTCCTATTTTCCTATTTTCGTGATTATAAAAGATACTTGTTCCAAAACAAAATTTTTTACATAAATGCAAAAGAAAAATTAAATTATTCAATACTTATGACAAACGATTTAAATCTGTAAGAAAATACATTTATCAATAGATATACGCGATGACAGATGTTGCTATCTATCTCAGAACGCATAACAGAACTTTATCAACATTTGTATACAAACATAAAGAATTTTATTCTATTAGTAAAGTAGTGAGTGCTGTCAACACGATAAGGCATTAATAAAACTCTCAGAAATTTTCAGATCAAATTATATAAAGCAATTAATCCGTAATCGTAAATTAATATCTTTCTTACTACTAATATTGTAAAAATTTTGTTATGTGCATTCTCTCTTTTATTGTCAATTAAATGTATGTATTTATGTATATATAATTTATTAATAGTTTTTATATATTTTGCGTGCGAATAACATCAAATGTTGTTATTCCAAAATGTGCAGAATCGCTTATCTGGACTGTATGTTGACGTTGCGTTATTCCGCATAAAAATATCGTTCATATGACATAATAAATAAGCGCTAAATGCTATTAGATTTTATGTAAACGTGGTATACACAACTGCTTGGACAACACTTTACAGTGTACTAATACAATCTTTGGTGCTCAATTTAAATTATGCATGTACGCATAATAAACACGGAACATTTTTCACTGCTATAATATTTGAATTGTTCAAGTCTTCTTTTACGTCCGAAACATATGTATTGTGTTAGTCCTCTCTTTTATTGTCAATTACATACATATAACTTGTTAATATTTTTTTATTTTGCAAACGCGGTTGCCTGCCTGCGATTCTGAACGCTTGCCTTTACTGTGCGATGATTTTGTGTCGTCTCCATCTTACAAAGATATTTTAATCAGTGAAGAGATATATATTAATAATACTTCGAGGCTAATAAATGGAGAAGCAAATTCCAGTTTTCAATAAAATTCCGTTTCGATGCCAATTTTTAAGCGTGGCTCATCAGAGCTGCAGATTGTCTCCAGTTAATTTGATAGAGCCCAGATAGCCAATTGTCTGTGATTATTACTATCACGTTGCCAACAATTGTATTATTATTGGCAAGAATGCTATATGACAACAATATGATTAATTATATTAATTAATATGACAGCAATTGATTAATCACCCTTATTTGGTTATCTGAGAGTGTAGCGCTGTAGGCGTATGTCAAAAGATAGTGGGGACACCGCACAAGTAATATATATATGTAGCATACTATGTTAGCATTCTAATGTCTTATTAGTCGTTTCTGCATAACACGTCTTATAGTCACAGACGTCTATCTTGCATTTTAAGAAATGACAATTCTACGATTGTCGATTTTCGGGCAGATATTCGTGAATCGGTGCATCGGAAAATATGCCGTCAGTGCATTGCCAAAAATTCGCCTCGAAAATTTGGTAAAACATCGAAGTTACGCGACCGCGATCAAGTTAAAAGTGGATTCGCAGAATGTAGTGAGCAGCGGATTGCCCGATATAAGCGGTTTCGAAAATGTTTACTTGCACGACTTGATTTGGGAGAAGATGGAGAGATGGTCGAATCATACTGCTCTGGTATGTGATTCAAGGGTAACAATATAAAATTGTAAAAAAATATAAAAAAATATAAAAAATATACAAGAGCAATATTGATTGATTGTGTCTTTTCCAATACAATAGAAAATATATTAGAATTTTAAAATGAGAAATATATTTCTCATATAAATAAATCATAAAAATCTATTATTTTTTCTGTGTCAATTGGTATTAATAGATATTTAATGTTAAAAATTTTAGAGAAAACCTATCGACTATTAAAATATTAATTGACAAAAAAACTAATTTCTCTTTGTAATGAAAGAAAAAATCTTATGTCGTTTATACAAATGTATACTTTCTCTTATTGTTTTCATATAAAATACAATAGCTGTTAAAGAATTACCTGAAATAACTAGACAAAATCTATTAAGCTTAAAATTAAATTTCTCATATTTATAAATTCTGATATATATATTATAATATTCACATATATCAGTGGTTATATTAAGTAAGTCACCATACAATGTACACAATTTATGTCTGATTGCAATATATACATCTGGAATTATAATTCCAGATTTGTTTAGATACTGGGAGATCGTATACATACAGTCAATTAAGAAAAGCATGCGGCAGACTAGCAACGAGTTTGAGAAAAAGCAAACTTCTACCGGGAGATACCATCGCCGTTGTTTTGCCAAATATTCCAGAATTTGCCATCATACTACTAGCGGCAAACGAAGCCGGTTTATGCGTAAGATTAAATTATATTATGTTTAAAAACACGCCCACATTACATAGAAATCGTCCATAGTACATAAATAAGAGATTGTCTTCTCTGCCTCATTGAAATTGAGAAGTAAAAGACGATAGTTCATCCATCAGAAAATGCAATATTATCGGAAAAAAAATTCGGTGATATAATTTAGAAAGATGACAAAGCGATCTAAACTATTTCACATTCTGTAAAAAATAAATTGTTTTTATTAATTACATAGTTTTCTCGAGAAAATCACTTTAAACATGAAAAAATGTATACCCATTTCATTGTGTATAATATTTGTGTGTGTATGAATTTGTTTAAAGTAAATATAGCTTTAGAATTTATTTATATATGATATGCATATTTTGCATAATATCATGCATATTTGATTTCTGCATGTTTTGTTTTCTAATACATACACGGAAAAAAATGCTGTTGCTTCAATTAAAGTCTACGTCACGGGCTGCCAACAACACTCAAAACAATGTCTTGCTGATATAGGTAGATTTCTAGGTGTCACAACAAAACTTTATCGCTATTTTTTGTATCTGTTAGAATATTGTCTGTTACATATAGAATTTATAGCAGCAATATTCTAATAATATCTTCTAGAAAATTTAGGTCCCATTGCCAAATGTTAATCACTGCATTGGATAAATATGAGTTTCGATACTACAGCTAGAACGATCTTTGCGAGAAATATAACTGCCAATTATAACTGCAGCATCGAAAAATTGAGAAAAATTGTTTAAAAGAGCTAGATAGATTGAGCGCGTTATACAAATATGTTAGACGTGAGGATTATATATTCATTTGTTTCTTGCCGCTAATTTTTTCTGTCTACCACAGCCAAACTTTATAACAAGTATGATTGGCCTTAACATGGATAGGCGCCACAGAAAAACATTCTTTCTAAATTTCACAAACAGTTCAGATATAAATTCTGTCTCTGTCACTTAGATTGATTAAATGCGAAACATATGCGATATCACAGTATTTGCTAATCATTTATGTACCTCAGTTAATTTTGCGCACCCAGAAAATTTTTGCTGTAGTTGCAAAACCACTTTTTTGAGTAAAACATACATAGTTCATTCAATGATATTTTTATTGGAACAAATTTTTGCTGTAGTTGCAAAACCACTTTTTTGAGTAAAACATACATAGTTCATTCAATGATATTTTTATTGGACCAAATATCTGGATTATTAAAACAACTATCCAGATATTCGGTCCAATAAAAATATCATTGAATGAACTATGTATGTTTGTGGCAGCCCGTGATGTAGACTTCAGTTGAAGCAACAGCATTTTTTTTTCCCTGTACGCATGAATACATATAATTAACATATAATGCTAACATATTTTTACTTCTAATGCATACGCATGAATACATATAATTAACATACAATACAACTCTATTAACATATTTTTTCAACATTAGATGGCGATCTTCGTTAGAGTCGCAATATTTTTCACCCACAATATTATGACGAATAAAAAAAAAACTGAAGGGTTAGTAATATGGCTTAAAACAAATGGGGTGACAAAAACAATCTCTAGATAAAAAAAAAAAAAAAATTTTTTTATCTGTCTTCTTCACATATTCATACACACACATCAGTGTTTTAATATTATACATCAGTTATAAAACATTGCGACTAACAGAAGGTACTAAATTAGCCATTTTTGCAAACTTGTTTTCAACTTGCAAACTTCTTTCCTCGACAATTCTATGCAATTATTCAAACATTTTCGATATCCTTATCTTTTTCGCGCAAAATTATTTTCTCTTACTACTTGTATTATCATTTATCAAGTAGCTTATACTTTAACATAAACAGTTGATTAGAATATCTTTAAAAAATTCGAAAAATACGATTAGCATAATGTAGCATGATAAGAATCTGCTGAGATAAAAAATAAGCATAGTAAAAAAATCGTCGCAATAAATGCTATTATGTAACAAAATAAAAATTAACGTTACAATTTTTGCTTACGTAGCGCATGATGAATATTTTAAAAGTTTTAATAAATATATCAAAAAAGTATAATTTAAGAAGATATTCATTAAAACTTTTAAAATATTCATCATGCACTACGCAAGTAGAATTGGAATGAGAGAATTGGATTTTCCTCTTTCTTTTTTTTTTAAGACAACGCTAATTAATCCCGCGTATACAACGTACGAGATAAAAAAGCAAGTGGAAAATACGGATGCTCAGGCAATTTTCACATTTCCGGCCAAATATGCTGATATCAACACAAGTATAGAGAACAATTCGAAGATAAAATTACCTATCGTTATCGTAAACGACGGCAGTGGCACTGCCTCGATCGCGAAAACCATCAAATTCGACGATCTCATACGCGATGACATCGAGGAATTTTCAGTCAGTCAGAAAATCAACGTCAATTATGAAGATACGGTACTCATGCCTTATTCCAGCGGTACGACTGGTCTACCAAAAAGTATTGAGACGAGCCATAGGTGCGCGCAAACTCTAATAGCATTAAATATTTGAATTAAATTGTAAGAAACGCATAAATATATATGAAAATGTGCGGAACATTGAAAAATTTATCTGTAGCTGTATTATTATATGATCCTGTAAATGCAAACGTACATCAATGTTGTAGGAATATTGTGGCAAATATTCTTCAAAGTTCGTTTCCGATAATCTTCCCCGGAATGGAAGCGACTGAACATCATCAGGATATTGTACCGGTAATATTACCAATGTATCACGCTTACGGATTAACAGTCGTTATGTACTGCTATTTGCGGTATGTGTTAACACATATCATACAATTTATTCATTCACATAATAGTAGCGTATTAACGCCCAAATATATTGATTGGTATTTGTTCAGTTTAAATGTGATTCTTTGGTTTTAACTTTTGCCGATTGTGTTTTTTAAAATATCAATTTTTCTTTTTTACGACAGCACTTGGAAAAACAAAATTTATTATAATATCATGTAACAATGTATAGGATAGGTGCTAAGCTCGTATGCATACCGCAATTTTCCATGAATAAATTCATAAAACTGCTGGAAGATCATCGATGCACGGTACTACATATGGTACCACCGATTATACAGATGATGGCGTACAATGAACGGATAACGTCGCGTCACGTTGCATCTGTAAAGGTAATACAATCAGGAGCTGCGCCCCTCGGAGAAGAATCTATCGCCAAGTTTCAAAGTCGCGTCAGTAATAGGGCTACTTTCGTTCAAGGGTAAAGAATCACAGTTATAAAAGAATACGTCTGTACAACAATGATAAAATTTGTAAATTACGTGTAGATACGGCGCGTCAGAATTATCGCCGATTGCTACGACTAGTGTAGACGCACCACCAACATCATGCGGTTATTTGGTTCCAAACACACAAATGAGAATTGTAGGCACGCGACAGGATAATCTCGGCAAAAATTTAATTCCACACGAAGTGGGAGAGATATACATACGAGGTCCGCAAGTAATGAAGGGATATTACAAAAATCCCCAGGCTACGGCGGATACTATGGATGGAGACTGGTATAAGACTGGCGATCTAGGATATTACACCGAACAAGGTAAATAAGATTTAATCGGAAATTTTTAAAACGCGTAAGAAGCGACATATATATTTTAGAATTTGCTAATTATATTTTAAAACATGCTAATCGAATTATACCGTTTGTTGCAGGCTTGTACGTGGAAGGACGATTAAAGGAGATAATAAAGGTAAAAGGATTTCAAGTCGCGCCCATCGAACTAGAAGAAGTAATTCGCGGTCACGACAAAATACTAGACGTCGCTGTCATTGGTGTCGCACACGACAAATACGGCGAAATTCCAAAAGCCTTTGTGGTTCCTAAGATGGGAGTAAAAATTTGCGAAAACGAAATCAAAGAATACGTAGCTAAACATGTAGCCAAATTTAAGCAGTTGGGATATGTACAAATCATAAAAAGTATACCAAAAACTGCATCTGGAAAGATTCTTCGAAGAGAGCTTGAAAAGTTGTAACACATTCTTCAAATATCAAATTTCATATTCAAATTAATACGAAGGAATTTATCGACAAACGCTTGATAAACATCGATCCATATATATATTTACATTAAGATTAACATTAACAAAAAAATGTTTATTATAATAAAAACTGGCCAAATAAAAGATTCAGTCATTTATTTACATACTAATTAAGTTAAATTTATTCTTTAGATTTGTTCACCCCACCTTGAGTCGATTCTTCATTTTCCAAAAGAGCGCTTGTAATACCAGCTTTCTTTAATTCCTCAATAAGCTCACCATTTTTGTGCATTTCTAACAGTATATCACAGCCGCCCACAAAGTCACCATTTATATATACCTGAGGTATTGTGGGCCAATTGGAAAAGTCTTTTATGCCTAAATAATGTTAAAAAAAGAGTGTTTCATTTATGTATAAATATTTATAAAGATTTATAAGAATTACACAAATTTTGAATATTTTTAATTACACTAATTATTTTTTTAAAATATCTTTTTACATGTTTTTTTTAATAACAAAAAACTATACATTCTTCTTCTAAAACATTATTGTATGAATGAAAAAATATATACTTGATATAATACTAAATATTTGTAACAATTTACCTTGTCTGAGCTCTTCATTTTTAAGAACATCGTGAGCATCATAAGTAACACCATGCATTCGTAATATTTGAACCACGGCGTTGCTAAATCCACATCTTGGTTCTTCTGGTATGCCTTTCATAAAGACGACTACTTTATTTTTCTGCAAGAAATAATCTTCATACAGTAACAAATATCTCACATAAGTAATATTAAGGCTCGATTGCACTAATGTCATTTTGGCTTTAGGCAAGACTTAAAACTTTTGGCTTTTGATAATAATAAATGTTATTTGGCTTTTGGCTTTAGACTATAAGTTAATCAATGATTAAAGTTAATCAACGATTAAATTATAGTCTAAGTTAAAGCGCTTAAGTTTATCAACCAAAATAGAGTCCCTTTCGACAATAATCTTGTTTAATGTTCTACTATAGAACTTAAACCATACAAAATTTTTATATAGAAATATAAACTTATTCCTGCATGAAATATCATATATTTCACAAGCCAGAAATATCTTACATAATGAATGGGGAGAAAAAACGTATCAATCGCACTTACTTTAACGAGGTTGCCGATGTCATCGAGCTTCGTGCTAAAATTTCTGACGATGAAAGAACATCTCGCTCCAAAACGAAACATGTTTTAATTTATATCACTAAAAAATACACTTTATCGATTAACTCAGATTTTTCATTTACGTAGCCTAAAAAGGTTATGTGCATACTGTCAGCCAGCTGTCTCGTGTCTCGTATTTACACGCGATTCTAAAGCGGTGATTGGCGCCATCGTGCGATGCAACCATAAAGTTCGTAGCCGAATTTTTCCGCAGATTTGAAAAAAGAACGTTTCTACGAAATATGTGTATGTGTACGATATGAATAACATTGCGAAAAACATATTTTTATCATTTTTCTTTGCCGAAAAAGAAATGTGATAACATAACATACATATATATTTATCAAAAATGAATGTTATATTAAATTTAAGTCGCTCTGCCAGCGACAGGATGTTAAAATGACCACAAAAATATATAAATTCCGTTAAATCCAACTCGGGAGTAGAATCAAAATAATTTATGGAATAAAAAACAATTTATGGGATTATGATGTATCGTCATAAGTAAAATATGTGAACAATTTGCGAAATAATGCTGACTGCTATTTTATATTACAAATAAATTACTCACCAACCGTTGCACTGGCGTCGACAGTTTCAGACGCCGCTTCAGAAACAGCACCCTCCCTCGCGATAACGAAAGAAACGCGATTAATATTAACGCGATAACACGACGATTTATAATTTCGTTGCATGTCTGACACTCGCAAACACTCCGACAAATAATCGAGACGAAGGAGACGCACGTCACTCCACTCCCGCGGATGCTCGTCGAGTGGTCGCTGCAAAATATATTCGCTATACAATTCGCGCGCCATCGAGTCAGCCAATCACAGTCGGTTTACGATTACTGCGTAACGCTCGGCCAATCACAGCGCACGTTTTATAATCTTGAGATATTCAAACTCGGCAAACTCCAAGTTCAGTAAATTACGTGCTTTACCGGTCCTCGGATCCGCGGTCGCGTCGATGGTCCGGATTAAATGAATTTGGCAAGCTATTCGCCACTTTTTTCGGATTATACAGTGTTACTTGCGATGTGGATCAGGAAGTAAGTCGGAATCGAACGGAGTTAAGTCTCGAGCGTCCGATTCTCGCTCTGAAATGCAACGATTACGCGACGCGAGTGCCAAGAATGTCAGAGGTGTCATATTGAGTGATTAGCGCGTATTTTTTTCTTCGATCGGAATAGATCCACTGTGTCTGGAATAATAGAGTCTTCAAGAGAAGAAAATTCTTCTACCTCGTAAAAATTAGCATCGTTAGTGTAGCTGATAATTTACTAACTCCAAGTGCGTGTAACAGAATCGTGAGTGCCAAAGGTAGTTTTGTGTAAATGATAAGCGCCTTAATTAGGGCATAGAATTATCATGGGGAGCATTTCTTGGATCGACCCACTATCAATTGAATTTAACAGTATCTGGGATAATATGGGAGTAGCTGGCGAGGTAACCTCCCCTCCCCCCCCTCCTGTCTCATGATCATCGACCGGTGAGTGCATTATTTGTTTATTACGTTCGCATTATCAATTGTTTCATCCGCTTGCAATGATTTAATCACGCTTTGCCTATCGCTTTCGATATCTTGATCTGCATATTTCCTTGGAAATGTACGTGATATACCGAGTAAAAATGTGTGTAAGAGAGAGAGGGAAAGAAATGACGAAGTTCGAGACGCGGTCGGTAATCGTTGAATTATCTTTCGGTGACGTTTAGTTCGAGTACTCGGCGCACGTGACAGATGTCGTTGACGTGCAAACTGCTTTCGCGATTCTCGCAACGCGCATGTATTAACCGACGCACGTATTTACGGCGAATTGTGGATGTGTCGCGATGTAACTAGTATCGCGAAACTATACGATAGATTAGGGGATAGACGAATAGAGCAGTCTTCGTAGAAGTCGTTTACTCGGACAAGATGACGCGTGCGCGAGAAGCGACGTTTCGTCGAAACGTTCGCTTCTCTCCGAATTTGACCTCCATCGATGACCTTAGGTACATATCGTACGTTTACGAAAAATGCGTCGTTGCGGAGATACGATTGCGTATATGAATCGGAATCGCAATACGAGACGAGATGACGTTTTCTTAGAGACGTTGAAATTAATTATTCAAAAAATATAAATATGTATCATATTTTAAAATAATATAAATATTTTAAATTGCTCTAAATAAATACTGAAAAATTTCTACACTATTTCCTTCGGTCTATGGTGAATCCAAGTAATTCGATATTGGGTCAATACTAGTTTAGTCTAGCAGTTAGGAACTGGTTACATATTAGTTCCATCAAATTAACGGGAAATGTTTCCTCTTCTCGCGCGACCTTCCATGTCTCTCGTGACGTCGTGAATATATAATCTATGAGCTCGAAAAGAAAGAGAATGTTATCTTATCTATATCTTCATAATTAGCAGCGTTAACCTTTAGAAACACGATAAGAATTAAAGATCTCGCCCATATCTGTTAGCAAAATATTTATCTTCCTTTCTTGAAAATAGAAATATGTGACAGTTTACTCTCTATGCGGTGATAACGTCAGATTTATTTATTCTTTTATCGAAGAGAAAAAAACATCTCATCCTTTGTCTAAATTTAAACGGATTTTTGCTTCAATAAAATCGATATTTTAATATACAAGAGATTCAAAAAGTAATCGAGATATTTAACGCGAAAAATTAAACACAAATATCATTTATTTAAAGAGACGACAAAACGCATTTTTCCTAGGTACACTGAACACTAAATTAATCGATAAAATTCATAATAAGAATTATTGAGCAAACGATACTTTGTTCGTGTATACATACGCATTTAATAAAGGCAGCGCCGAATCGATTCGGCGCCGCCAGCGTCCGCGCGATATACCAACTTTAGGTTTTACGGAATACATTTCGGCTCGTAAAATTTCGGTCGCCGACTGATTTTGGACGCGTAGCAGGCTGCTCGGCATCATAAAACGCCGTGATACGAGTCGTAAAACGCTTCGCGCCGCCAGACTGTTGCGGCGTGGCACGTGCTGTCACTGAAACGCTTATGACGTCAGATCGGAAAATCCTGCAAGAAATACCTCGTGTTAGTCGCAATAAATTATTAGCGTTAATAGTTAAATCGCAATTAAATTCCTTCTAATAACCTCTCGATTTTTTCTATTCGCAAAATTCACATCGCAAGCATATATATGGCGTCGTTTTGACAGGCCACTTAGGAAGCCGATATCGAGCCGCACGATGCGTGGCGAGTGACGTCATGTCGGAAACGTCGAAGCATCTCGATGACGTTATCGAGATGCATTACCCTGGGACGTTGCGCGTGTGCGGCGATGACGCAATATTGAAAAGTCGCTAATCTGGGAAAACTCGCGTGGGCGCCGCTCGCGCCACGTGCTCGCCTCGTAATTCGTGACGTCACGGGGATAAAATCATGGTCACCATGGCGACTTTCGGTCGGTCTCTCCTCGTCCCTTCGGATCTCGCCCACGAGATTTAAACTTCCGCTGCCGGTGCGAACGTCACGCCCTGTTTGACGGGTAAAGGTGGGTAGATAGCTGTGTTGCGGTAGGTCCGGGATAAAAGTCCGAAAATAGCAACAGGTATATACAATTTTCACGCAATATATAATATATGCTTCAAAATTTACGCATCTTTGTTAATTATAATTATCTTATAAATTATATTATAAATTTATTATAATTATAATTTATAGTTAGTTTATAAATTAATTTCACAAAATAAAAGTTTGACAAAATATTCGTATGCAAAATTAATTATGTAAGAACTTGAATTTAATTAGAATTGAATAATCATTTAATTGCGGATGATATTTAGATCATGCCTTTTTTTTTCTCTCATACAATATTGATTTATGAAAGATTGGAAACATGCAGAAATTAAATATCAGAATAAATTTTACCCTTAAAATGTCGATCGATAAACTTTAATTTACGTAGCGCTGCCACACACACGCAGCTTCCTGATCCGTTCGGTTACTTTTCTCTTCAACTTAACCCACGATGCCAGGAAAAGGTCGACTGGGCGACTACTATTAGGTCTATTAAGTGGGAAAGAGCCGAGGAACTTGCGAAGGCCAACCGTTTTAAAGGGAGAATAAAGGGACGAGAACCGGAAAGGAATATTACCGACATTATAATGTTGAAGCGACAATTGTTGCGATAGTTTACGGTAAACGCTTTAATACGATTGTACCGTGACGTGAGTATTATGTTGTCACAATGTCGTGCTTCGCATTTCTAAATAAAGTTATGCTTTACATCCGTGGGACAGCGAGGGAAACACAGAGTAGGCTCTCTCTCTCTCTCTCTTTCTTAATTTTTGAAATCTGAGATATAAACCACACTAAAGTGAAATTATCATTTTATATAACGTACGAAAAAAAAAAAATAAAATTGTAAAAAAATAAAATAAAAAATCGAGTAAGTAAAATAAATGCGAAGAAAATGTGCGCATCTGTTATCCTGTGATTCGAATCTTATGTATTTCTCAACGCGAGATTCAAACAAAAAAGTTGCACGACAATGTATCAACGAACGGTACTTTGAACAACCACACAGCTCCTCTTCTTTTTTCCCGTTAACCCATTTACCGGTTACTGCAACCCGCGCGTCTCTCTTCTATCTATAATCCGTTTTTTTTCTTTACAATTGAAACTATCCTCCGCGAGCGACGTAGACTCGTCCGACAAGTTTCGCCGGGTATATCCAAATGTATCTGTATAGGAGGTATCGGTTCGGATCCGGTATTCGCGTGCAACGTGATAATATCAGAAGTGGGACGAAGCATTCTCACAATTCGCGGGAAGGTGACATCTTAACAGCGTTGTGAAATACGTACTATCAGCAAATAAATAATGCTAATGTTTTGCAACACGTGCGGTGTCAACGTGTCAAAGATATCAAATTGAAAGTTTCGATCAATAATTTCCTACGTTGCGTTTCAAAGTGAAAAAAACGAAATATATATATTTTTTTACAATAAAATATATAAATCTATTTTTTTTTTTACAATAAAATGAATAAATATATTTTTTTACAATAAAATATATAAATATATTTTTTTCGGGTTATTGATAATCAGTTGGAATCACTACTAGATTAGTCTCCGGGATATGTAGAATAGAGAAAGCTAAGAAATAGAATCCG